GTAAAGTATGGTGCCTGCTGATGGTCTAGTAGGGAAATAAGGTGCAAATACGGATAATTATAAGTATAAATAAGTGCATTACAAACATACAAAACAAAGTATTGAGTGATGTCCAGGTCAAAGATCATCACCAACAAGTGGAATCGTAGAAGGTTTCATGGTGAGAGGGGCAATGATTTGGGATTTTTAAAATTTAAAGACAAAAATAAAAAATAAAATAATTTTTTTAAATGAAAAGACATTCAGCAAGCAAAGAGTGTGAGGGAGCATATTCCAGGCAAAGAGAATAGCATGAACAAAGACATAGAGATTGGAAAATTCAGGCCATGTGTGAGGGACAGCAAATAACACAGTTTGGCTGGAATGAGTAGTATAGCAATATGGCTTATGATGTTGCCAGAATGTGAGGAGCCCTCAATGCTAAGCAAAAGATTTTTGAATTTTACTTGATAACCAACAGGGAATCTACAAAGATTTTTAAGCCTGGACAACAGTGACAAAACCATAACTATGCATAAGAAAAACTATGTGGTAGTTGTATAAAAGACAGGTTACTGAGGGAAGAGAGCTGATGCCGGAAAACCTCCTAGAGGGTTACTATAATAGCCTAGGAAGGAATGAGGGATTGTAGTAGGATAAAGGCAGTAGGAGTAGAGAGGAGAAGATGGATAGGGCAGTGTGGCACCATTGAGGGAGATGTGTCTCTGGCATCAAAGGGGAAAGGAATAAACATTTATTAAGCACCTACTGCATGCCAAGTCATTTCACCTCCCTGGGACTTACTTTCTTGTAAGTTGAAGGTATTGGACCAATTGGCCTCTGAGGCCTCTTCAAACTCTAGCTCTATGATCTAGGTAGAATGAAGAAGACTTGCTGATTGCTTGGACTTTGGAAGTAAGGAAGAAGTCAAAGAGAAGTCAAACTCTCCATGGCAATATGGGTCAACTTTCCATAAGATCATGGTATATTTCCATAATTGATGCCTCCAGAGTTAGGAAACAGCAATTAGGAAGTGAAACACTGAATTATCAATAACTCTGAAGACCAGCCAATGTTGCAACTCCTACCTGCCCTCTTCTCTAAAAAGAGACAATAGCTGTGAACTTTCTCAACAGAGAAAGATTCTAGGAGGCAGCCAAGAGGCACAGTGAATAGAGCTCCTGCCTTGGAATTCAAATCTGACCTCAGACACTTGACACTTACTAGCTGTGTGACCCTGAGCAAGTCACTTAACCCCAATTGCCTCACCAAAAAGAAAAAAAAAAGATTCTATCCTCTCAGGACAAAACATCTCCTCACACATTTTTTTCTGTGACAGGGTATAAACAGATAGAAATTAGCAATTGTTTCTGAAGGCTTTTCTTCCCCAAATGTGTGGGGTTCTGTCTGAATCCTAACTGACATTGTTATTCCATACACACCCCTACCCCCTGCCCAAATTTTTATCAAAATATACTCTGTCCCCTCAATAATTTTGGGCTAGGGATAAGAATCAGACCTGTGATTTCATTAATATAGGGAACTCTTGAATGAAGAAAACTCTATCTATCAATGCAGGTTGGCAAATTCTCTGCAGAGAAGTTGCCTAAAGAATACCAAGAGATTAAATGACTTGCGTGGGTTCACACGACCAATACGCATCAGAGTAGGATAATAACAACGATATTTGAAAAACAATATTTGAAAAATATTCTGCTTTATACAGCAACCTTTAAAACAGCTAACAATTTTAGTTTGATTAAGGGGTGTGTGTGTGTGTGTATTCATCCTCGGTCAGGAACCAGGAAGCTTCATATTCCTTTGTGAAACAGTGTCCTTCATCAACCAAACTCAGACCTGTTTTAGAACAAAGTGCAAGTGCCTAAGGTTGGTTTCCTACCTCTGGATCAACTCAAAGGAGCTACCTTTCACTGTGCAATCCAGCTAGCATGCAGCTTATGGGTCTTCTAAGAGGGAAGACTTTTTTAAAATAAACTAATTATTCTTTAGAGTAACTAACAATAATGAGAGATGTGAATGTGCATTCATAAGGTGTTATGTGAAACTATTACCGTCCTATGCATTATTCATTTATGGAAACTATTGTACCCAGTTCACCGTGCAACTGAGCAGGAAAAGTCCCTGAACTCAAAACGATGTTGGGGGATGCATTTTTTAGACATGGCAATATCTAATATTTTCATCAGTGACCTGCATGAAGTACTAAAGAATAAGCTTATTGATCTGGGAGGGAGTCATGATTAGCACCTTGGAGAGCAGGATTTGATTTTTTTGGGGGGAGGGATAGTGTCAAATTAGAGAAATGATCAGACTTAACCACTGAATAAGCCAATGTAGTTAAATCTCCAATTTACATTGGGCTTTAAAGGTTACTAATTCTTTCCTCACGGTAACTCTGTGAGAAGGAGGAAAAGGAGGAGGAGGAGAAGAATGGATGGTGGTGGTGGTGGTGGAGATAATGATAGTTCATTTTCATGTAGTTCATCTTTATATATATCATCCCTTTTGATCCTTAGAACAAGCCTTTGAGGTAGGTGCTATTATTATTCTCATTCAACATATGAGGTTATTGAGTCTCTGAGAGTCTGTGATTTGCCTATGGTCACATAGCTGAGTTTTGAACCTAGGTCTCTTCCAGAGCTGGAGTTTAAACCTGATTGTCTCCTGATTCCAAGTCCAGTCCTGTTCTGTTTTTAGGAAAGATAAGCTACCTCTCTATACAAGAAAGGAATCAGCTAAGTATCCAGGAAAAGAACAGATAAAAATTTGGGTGGCATGGTGGATGAAACCAACTTGACTTAATTAGAAAAAGAGCATATAGTTACTCTACTCAATGCTGGTGGGCTCTCTATGCACTCAATGGTATTCTTCCATACCATTTCAACTCTAACTTTTGGGCTGAAATAGATCAGTAGTTGTCTAACCAGCTATGTAACAGTATAACTGACAGAAATTTCTTCCTGCCAACGACCTACCAAGAAGCTAATAAGTCTGACCAAAAATTTAAGTCAGAATGATGTTAGAATGGTTCTTCTATCAAATGTGTAGAGATTGTCTCAAAGGGAAGTTCAAAGAGAAATCAAAGAAGTCTAAAGGCCTAGAAAATGTTCTCTCTCAGCACAAGTTAAAGGAAATCTCCTTAGTAAGCCCAGAGATGAGAGAAGGGGTTGACCTGTAAATCTTAAGGCATTAAGAGGATTTTGAGAAGGGCAGAAGTTCTCCATTTAGAACAGAAAAGGTAAAACTTATTTTAGAGTAATCATGGAACCCAGGTTTAAAAAAGAGCCCACTGACAAGGAGGCTTATTTCCTAACCTAATGGTTTTCCAAAAGGTGTTGTAGAATTCCCTTGAGGTATTTAGAAATAGGATTGGTTCTCAGATCTCCTTGCAGATAGTGTGATGTAGTATAGATACATTGGTCTTGGAACCAAAGGCCCTGAGTTCAAGCCCCAGGTCTGACACTTACCAGCCATGTCGACCCTGGGCAAGTGATTTAACATCCCTGTACCTCAGTTTATTTATCAGCAAAATGGGATTGCACATCTTGCCTCACAGGGTGGTTTTCAGGGAAGCATTTTGTAAACGTGAATGCACTCTAGAAATATAGATTGTTGTACTCTGGAAATGTAGTCTATTAGTACATAGAGGCAATGAAATGAATAGTCAGGAAAACTTTTAAGGTCCCTCCCTGAGTCTTTCTTTCAAGTTCCAAGATTTTGAAGAAAAGGATCATTTTATTCACAAAATAGATATATCTAACCATTGTGGTTAAAGGGAACAGAGAGCTTCTTCAAGAGGGTTATGAAGTACAGAATCTTCAGTGATTACTTAACTAAGAAAACCAAGTGTCTACATTTCAAAGGGGCCTTCTGAATGACACTCCTTACACTGGAAAGTGGTTTGGGACGGGACTGACTTAAGCCAGTCCTCTGATAACTTAAGTCTGATGTTGGAATGAAATGAAATGCTTGTAATTCATTCAATAGTTAATAAAAGATGATTTATTTAGTCATAGCAGAGAAAGATATTCAACAAGAATATGCATCAAGAACACAAGATTATTCAGCTGAATCAAGCTCCCCTCCCTTTGAGTTGCTCATAGTCACTTGTTAGCCAAGTATCAGAGAGCACCTGGAGCCCCTCAGGACTGGTTTATATTCAGGCAACCAGGAATCAATGTCAACACCTGGGGCCTTTAGTCACCTGAGCCACTAAAGTCTTAAGGCTGGTTTCAATGCTTTCTAAGGAAAAACTAGCCTAACTTGCATGGGGGTCAGAGCTAGGATATTGCTATCAATGCAGAAGGCATGATGGGGAACTCATTCATTGTCAGCGGACTGCATTCCTTCCTAAATGCGTGTAGAAGCACTTGTCAATCCAAACACATGCCCACAAATGCTTTCAGAGCTTAGCAGAATCTAAATTTATGAATGATATTAAACTCACCTCAGCATTTTAAGAGTTTGAGCTTGCCCTTTCCTGGGCAAGTCCAATATGGTTTACAACATTTTTGAACAGTCTCATTTTACCTGTCTTTTCTAAAAACAAATGGAGCTAATCCACAGTGTAGTTGGTTAGAGGGCCTGACACATTCTTGCTGTGTGACCAGGGATAAGCCCCTCAACCTCTGAACCACCCTAGGCAACTCTTCTAAGACTTTGAGTTACCGATGAGTTGCAGGTCTGTGCTGGTGGAGGGAATTTCCACACTGGACCTGACATCAATGGATTTAGCTTTATACCAAAATTAAGAAATTACGAAGTGAATGAAGAACAGACGTCAAAGTGACTCTTGTTGATTAGAAAGAGCCATCCTGAAATGACCTGTATGACTTCGAGTTCTGGTCCTTGACCTTTATCAGTTTTTGAAAAACATCCCAGGTTTTTCCTTTGAGACAAAGCAATAAAAATAAAAGAAGTATCTCTTTCCTCTAAATGGTCATTTTTTTAAGATGGAAAACTCATTGTGCTTTTTTAAATGATTATTTTTATTATTTCAGATGATCCAGGAACCTGTACGTCCTGCGCTACAGGATATTACTTGTAAGTTCCATCATATTCTAGTGCTGTCACTAACTTTTCTGCAATTTAAGCAATGCTGACCTAATCCCATAGCCAATGATTAAAGCAAACAGGCCTAGCAGCCTGGAGCTACTCTGCACTGTCAGGCTATTAATGAGTGGGGTTTTTTTGGATTTAGAAATAATAGCCCAGCTGTTTTCTTGACTCAGAAGGAGGCCCTTTATTTCTTGATTCTGGAAGTCATCCAGCCTGACACTGGTGTCTAGGAATCCTTGTTGTCCATTCCCAAGATTCGGACCTCCCCTGTTTATGGACAGAGACTAATATCATGCTAGTCCCCTAAATAAACTTTTCCAAAATGTTTACATGGAGTCCTGCGTCTGGCCTGAATTCAGAATGGCCATTCTGAGGTCAGAAGCTACAGTCTACCCTTAACTGTCCTCAGCAAATGAGAAATTTAAACACACACACACAGACACAGAGAGGGAGAGAGAGAGAGAGAGACAGACAGACAGAGAGAGAGAAGGAGAGAGAGAGAGAGAGAGAGAGAGAGAGAGAGAGAGAGAGAGAGAGAGAAGAGAGGAGAGAGAGAGAGAGAGAGAGAAGAGAGAGAGAGAGGAGAGAGAGAGAGAAGGAGAGAGAGAGAGAGAGAGAGAGAGAGAGAGAGGAGAGAGAGAGAGAGATGAAGCCAACGGAAAATCCAGAAACCTGACTTTGGTTCCCAATTTCAACCCTTCCATAAACATTTTACAAGTTATCAGGCTGTCACCTTTACCATCACCAGGAAGCAAAGCTAATTTAAATGCTACCTTCTCTCCTTCTACTAGATTTTTCTCTTTCAGAGGTATTTAATGAGCAAAGAAGTGACCAAAAGGCAAAATGCAAAAGGAAGAAGGGATATAAGCAACCTGGGTTATCCACAAACTGGATAATCCTACTTTGAATAACTGAAAGTATATGACTATATGTAATGCATAGAATATGATATAACATAATATGATACATAAGGAGATGTGGTGTAGCCTAATGGCTAGAGATCCAATCACGAAGACCTGTGTGCTTCTGACACATACTGACTTAGTGACTGCACATATTGCTAAGTGTTCTAGGCAATTCTCTAAGAGGAAAGGTTGTAGAGAAAAGGCTGACCTCCATGGTAGAGAGAGTTTCCTTGCCCAGGTATTCCCTATTTTAATGAAATTGCAGGTCCAGTACATATTTCTATGTAAGGGATGTAATATATTGTAATATAATATGTGTGTTTATGCATACAAATGCACATATATGTGCTCTTTTCTGATAGTCACTAGACTTTGCTTTGGCAAGCTTGCTAGAATTCACAGGTCTGTAAGAGCACTAGGTATTTCTAATGGAATTCATGTTTCAAGACATGAGCACAATCATTACTCTCTTTCCCTTGGTCATGTTACAAAATTCAGAAATCAATCTTGGTTTGCGTCTTCTTCATCTTTCTTTACCTGCAGCACCTTTGACAGGGCTTTACAGCTAGTAGGTATTTAATAAATGTTTACTGAATATTCCGTGATCTCATTTCATCCTCACAAGGACCCTATAAGACATAGTAAAGATAATATTATTCCCACCATGGGCAGACAATGATACTGAGTCACAGAGAGTTTGTGAATATCCCAGGATCACAAAGGTGCCTAGTTGATAGAGTCAGGACAGAAAACTAGGTCACCTGGTTTGCAGGAGTTTTTCTTCCTTCCTTCCTTTCTTTCTTTTCTTCTTCCTTTCTTTTTTTCTTTTTTAGAGAAGCCTTGATATGAGTTCTCAAGAACATTATTTGGGTCCTGGTGAACAGCTGCTCTTTGTTTCCACTGAGAACAAAAAATAAAATAAGATGTACTTAAAAGAACAGCAGAAGAGTTTTAGGTTAAGCGTTAGGAGGACCTTGGCATATCACCCAGTCAGGTTGTAGAAATATTCTTCTCTACAGCTAAGAAAAGGACCAAATGTATTCATGTTTCTATCCCCCAAGGATCCCCTGCCATGTTTGAGATCCCATACAAAAATAAGAGGAGACCTCAGAGTTTTTGAGTGGGGTCAAGCAAAGTCCCTTTTATATAGCTATTTCTTCTTATTAGGCTAGAATTCAACTTAGCCTCATCAGTTGACAAGTATTATCTCAGTATGGTTTCAATAAAGGCAGCTTGACAAAATGCTTAAAGTCAACCTCAGAGTCAGAATGGCCTGAGTTTAAGTCTGGCCACTAACACATATCTGCTCTGTGACCTTGAGCAAATTACTCAGCCTCTCAGTTTTCCCAGGCAACTCTTTAAGACTCTTAAGTTCCAGAGTAGTTCCGTATCTGCATGGTAGAAGGATTTTCCCCCTCAGGAGGTTCAGACACCAATGAAATCACTGGTCCTGACCCAAATGACTCAGTGGTTTAAATAGTGTACCATTCAGATTCAGGAGAGACTCAGTGATCTCTTGGGGTCAAGAGAAAGCTTTGTGTAGTGGAAAGAGCAATGGACAGGACACCTGGGTTTGAGCCCTTCCCCTGCTACTAACCTAGTGTAACCTCAGGAAAGGCCCTTTTACCTGTTAGCACCAAGTTTTCTCCTCTTTAAAATGAGAGTGGCTAACCAGATATTGCTAAGGTCTCTTCCAGACCTAAAGTTTTATAATTCTATGAAAATATAGTATTAAATTTCTTAAAAAAAAAAAAAGGAGTGCTTCTGTAAACCAGTCAGTTTCTCCTGTAATCAACTCATCTGTCCCTTAGTTCACATAATGACAGCCCTGTACCATTTAAAAGCATCTCTTGGCTAACATTTAATGTTTGTGTGTGTCCGTGTGTGTGTGTGTGTGTGTGTGTGTGTGTGTGTGTGTGTGTGTGAATCTTTCTATGTACTTTACCTTGTGCTAATCTATTCTTCCCTCTGGTGAATGTTCTCCTCACCTGATGCACTCTTGTGCTGCTGATTTAAATTGCTATTACATTTTTAAAGAGCACACACACACATACACACACACACACACACACACACACACACACACACACACACACACATCAAACCGGATTTGAGGTTTGATAATTATAAGGTGTGCCAGTTGACATTTGGTGAGCAGAAATTAATTTGTCATTGTGCTCATAGCTGGCATTTACATAGCATCTGGCCTGCTAAATACTTTTCAAACTCCATTTACACACATATATTAAGGAAATACAGAGATCTCTGGGTAGAAATCATGGAGCCAATGCTTCACAAGGTGCATTTCTAAGAACTGGACCAAGGAAGGTCTCACTGTCCCTTGGAGGGATGTGACCATGAGCATATGTCCCACATCATCTCTCTGATCATTAGCTACCTAATCTATTTAGTAGAGCTAATTATCATGTGCCCTATCCCAGAAGGCCATTTTGAGGAATAAAAAATGAAGGAACATTTAGTACGCACTTACCATATACCAAATGCTTTTGTATTCCTAAATACAAAAGCAAAGAAACCAATAGCAGTCCCTATTCCCAAAGAGCTTACATTCTAATGGGGAAAACAACATTTTAATAGTAAGAAAGCATCGTAGAAATGTGAGCTATTATTAGTTTCTGCAAAGACTCAAACTCATTTCTATTTCCAACCCCACCCATTTTTAGAATCCATAATGAATCCACTCTCACTTGACTACCATAGTGCTTCCTATGGGGCACCTTTTTTAAAACAACTGAGGGCCTGGGAAATATAAATACTGAATACAAATTTCCCCATAGAAAAGTTCCACATAGGAAGAATCATCTACTATAAAAGAAGGCTTGATTTTTAATGTCTTAAGGATGCTCCAAAGGTTAAGGCAAGATCCTAAAGGCTTTGGTTTGGTGTTTCCAACTGGCCGCACAAGATTGGCTTGCTGACGAGGAAAAAAAAAAGTAGGCATGACATACTTTTGAGTTTAATCGGCAGGCATCATTAGTTTTCTTAAGTCTAGGTAATCAACAAAATGGTAAGTCAAGTTCTGCATTGTGGTGTTTGCTGATTCCAAAATGTAACTGCTCACTGAAAACTTAGCAATTGGCTCTCAAGAGCTGGTGGGAGCTGACTCCAGAACACCCCTGCTCAGCTTATAATGCGTGTAGCCCTGCCAGAAAAGATGCTCATGTAAAGATCACTTTATGGAAGACTTCAAATTCTTTCTCAACAGGTTCAAACAGCACTGCTATCAAACTTGTCCTGAGAAGACCTACAGTGAAGATTTTGAATGTAGGGAGTGCAGTGAATATTGTGGGGACTGCGACCAGAATGAGTGCTACTGGTGTGAAGAGGGGTTTTATCTTTTCGGTAAGCAGGGAATAGTCATATGGAAAATGATCATGAGACTTCCGGGTGTGGAGCTAGAAATGGAAGATTTGGGTTCAAGTCTTAGTTCTCTTACTTAAAGCCTATGTGACCTTGAGCAAGTCACTTAATCCTTGTGGACCTCAGCTTCCTCATCTGTAGAACAAGGGGCATTGGACCAGATGACCACTAAGGTCCCTTCCAGTTCTAAATCTATGATTCATCTCAGGCCTTGAGAGTATGGAGGATATTTTAATCTGGTTAGAAAAAAACAGCATTTTTTAATAGCCAAGGCTTCTTTTTGCCTTAAGCAGGGTATTCATTCATTTATTATTCTTAAATATCTTTATTCTGATGGGAATAATGCAGGAATTGGGCCTCTGGAATGGCAATCATACAGGGCTCATGAATCTTCTCTCAAGACTCAGTCTTGCAGCAGGAATTTTCAACTGACCTTGTAAAATGGCAACAGCATCCCACTAAATGATGGTTGCGATGGCCCATTGATTTTGATAGAAGTTGTGGGGCTAAAAATACAGGTCTTTTCAGTCTTTCCTAATGGTCCAAGAGGCTCATGTTCTGGGTGGGAAAGTACACAGTGTTCTTCAGTAGTGACCTCTGCATCTAAGAGTGGACTTTGACTCTATTTTTTTATGGCCTAAAGAAGACAAAAGATCTTTCATGCCATAGTCTGTCTTTTCATCACTTGATCTGAGCTGTGCCATACCGTGCCAGCCCTTCATGGTTTCCTTTCCACATTCCCAGGTGACATTTGTGTCAGAGAGTGTGGCCCGGGTTTCTACAGTGACACTGAAGTTGGAGAGTGTGAGCCATGTCACCGAACCTGCAAAACCTGCACAGGCTTGGCTATGATAAGTGCAGCAGCTGCAAAGGAGATTTACAGCTGGTGGATGGGAAGTGCGTGGACCCCTCCAAGACCCCAGGACAGGACACATTCGGGAGCGGTATGTACCTTTCAGTGATGGAACAGCACGACCCCATCTGCTTCTTTTAAGACCCTGCTCAGCTCCCACTCTGGACAAAATAAGACCTCAGACAGAAGAGAACTGGGCAGTGAACCAAAAGCTAGCTGGTGAAAATACAGGTTGGACAACTGCTTGAGTACAATCTGGTATCTGCCAAAGGGACCTATGGTTTGTGCTTGAGAGAGAACAACAAAGAAATTGGTAGAAGCTCTACCTGGTGACCTGATACCATGAAAAATTTATAGATCCACTTTACACGTAAGATCATATATCAAGAGCTGCAAGGGAATTTAGGGGCTATCTAGTCCCTCATTTTATAGATGAAGAAACTGAGGTACATGGGGAACCCATCCAGTCCAATCCCTTCATTTAATAGTTGAGAAAACTTAGGACCAGAGAGGTTAAGTGATTTTCCCAAAGTCACACATATATTAATCATCAAAGGCAGGATTTGAACCCTAGTCTTCTAACTCCAAGGTGATATTCTGTCCATTGAACCAAACAATTCATGGAAACAACCCAACTCATACAAAGACCAGCTATTTTTGGATATCAGTAAAGTAATGCAGACAAATCTCCCAATCTCCAAATCCAATATTCCTGGCATTTGCCAAATTCAGATAGAAATTTATTTGGGTAGAGTTGAGCCTTCTCCAAGCCTTTCCTGTTGAATAGTTGAAGTGCTATCTAAAGTTACCAGTAGCCAGGAGTATTAGCTGGGTGTCATTCAGTCCAACATCCTCATTTCTCAGAGGCCTAGAGTGTCAAAGAGACTAGCTCAAGATCCCACAGATGATAAACGACAGTCTGGGTTAGAACCCAAGTCTTCTGACTCCAAATCCAAGACTCTTTCCATTTTTTATGCATGATTATGCTTGTCCTAGGAAAGCTACCAACAACATCCCTAATGCATCTCATTGGAATTTGGAGTGGTTCCTTTAAAACAAAAAGTGATCCTTTTCTAAGGATAGGTTAAAGGCCAATGTGGGACTCAAGAAGGGGAGAGGAAAGGAAAAAGGTTAGGCTTCAGGCTCTTCATCTGAGTGCTCTTCTTTCAATTCTGCTTATGTAGGGTTGACCACCTGGCTGTAGGCAGGCTGGCTTGTAAGCCCTTCCTGTGATCTCACTGGTTAAGCCTATCACAAACAATGACCCATCAGGCCGGGAAAATCTGATTCGCATTCCGCCCAGAGAGGCTTGTGAAATGAGAGATGTTCTCAGTTTGATTTCTAGGCAATGGTTCTTTAAAGGGGTCATTTCAGTCCAGGAACAGCAGCTGAGGGGACGGATGAGTTTCCCAACCGCTTGCAGGAGGGATCTATCTAGGTCAGGATTAAGATCTCCTTCTGGATTCCAGAAAGAAGGATTCCCATGTATAGTCTTCGCTGCTACTGTTCCCCACGTGTAAGTGAAAGGTAGAAATTTGAGCCTGGGAGTTCTATGATCCCATTGGCCAGTGGCTAAAGAGGAGTTGGGGTGCTTCCTAAGCCCATATCTATTTTGGAAACATAGCTAGGAAGAAATCAGGCTCAACTGCAGAGTGGGCTATCTTCAGTGATCTGTAGCTGGGCCCAGAATGCTGAAAATGAGTTTGTTTGGCATTCAGGCATCTAAAAGGAGGTGCAAGCCAGGGGGAAAATGGTCTGGGTCTGTGTTTGTAGCTGAGAACATCTGTATTTTATCTGGCATACCAGATGATGAAATGAAGCAAGGAGCCAGGAGACAGAGAAGGCTTGATTCACCAAATGAGTACATCATTTCAACTGGACTACGCGTGTTGCAAGCTGGAATCAGGTCTTGATTGCTTTTTGCTTAAGTGCCACACCCAGCCCTCTTTCATTTTCTCCTACCCAAAGCCAGGTGGTGGTTGTTGTTGTTGTTGTTGTTGTTGTTTTTTGGGGGGGTTATAGGTGGGGAACTGGAAAGATGAGGGGAATTAGAACATTTGTGGGGTATGGTACTAATCAGGACTGGATGAAGCAGACAGTGTTATTTCTCACGACCTGGCAAAGAGAGGAAGCTAGTGACCTGAAAGGTCTCTTTTACCTCCATAATCTTTGACATAAGACATACAGACTATAAAGAAGGAGGAAAATGTTTATAAATAAGGTAAGAATCCAGCTTAGCCTACATACCACATTTCAGTCATTGAGCTGGATAGTGAATGGAAAATGCATTTCGACATTTCTTATAAAGTCTTGGGAGCATGTGGGCCACAGCATCCATCTTTCCACTGTTTGTTTTCTCTTGCAAAATAAATTTAAAATTGCGATACAATGGCAGAGGTTATTCCAGAACAAGTCATAGTCTGTTGCCCTTGGAGATTAGAGGAGGCAAACCTGAGTCACCCTGGGTGAACTCAAAGGAACTGGAAATAGTCAAGAGACAGCCCAGACAAATGACCTAGTGAATAAAGGAGGATATAGCTGTCTAGGTGTTATAAGCAAACTCTTTGGATGTATTCGTGTGTGAAAGGTAAGGGGGAAAAAAATCAACTCATTCCTTCACCCATGCTGCACCCCAGTGGAAATAACTGGTTCATGTCTGCGTCTGGGATCATGAGCTATGACAGCATAATTATTTAAAACAAGGAATCTTTAGAAAAATCGACACATGTGATTGGACTCACCAATACTAAAATAGACTTTTAATCAGTTGCATAATTGATGGGAGGGAGAGTGACAATTACAAAAAAAAAAACACCATTGGTTTTCTCACTAACACGAAGTGGGGGAGAATGCCTGCCCCATTTCCTGGATTGGACTATTTATGACCATGGATCATAGGTTTCTATAGCCAAGTCATTCATCACAAAGAGGTCACTCTGTACTTAGCGAGGCTCCAGTCTATCTTTCCAGAATTACAGCACATTCCTCCCCTTCACCATCCTCTTCCAGCCAAACTGGCCTCTTTGCTGTTCTCTAAACTCAGGTCTCCATTTATTGCCTCTGAGACTTTGCACAGAATATACTGGAGTGCCTGGTATATACTTGGATGACTATAATAGATTCCGTCCTCCCCTCTGCCTCTTAGCATTCTCATTTTCTTTCAAATTTCAAGTGATAGGGGGCAGCTAGCTGGCACAGTAGATAGAGCAGCAGCCTTTGAGCCATGAGGACCTGACTTCAAATCTAGCCTCATATACTTGATACTTATTAGCTGTGTGACCCTGGGCAAGTCACTTAACCCCATTGCCTAGCAAAAACAAAACAAATCTAATCAAATTTCAAGTCATAAGCCACCTCCTACAAGAAGACTTCCCATCTTATTGGACTTCTCTCTTTCCTTCTCAAATGATCATACATATGCTTTGTATTTGTAAGAGTGCCCCACTCCTCCCATAGAATAGAAGATTCCCAAGGACAGGGACCATTTAATTTTTATTTTTCCATTCCCCAATATGGGAGACAGCATGGCGAGAGGATAGAGACCTGGCCTGGGAGCTTGAGTTCAAGTATTGCCTCTGACCCATACAGCTATGTGACCATGGGCTAATCAATCAATTTGCCTCTCCTCTCAGTATTCTTAGGCAACTGTCTCCCACTATAAGTTACAGAGAAGGTGCTGATTTGAATTGGTGAGAGGAGTCCCTTCATCCAGGACTTCTAGAGGCAGCTAGATGGCACCCTAGGCCTGGATTCAAGAAGACCTGAGTTCAAATCTGGCCTCAGACACTAACTAGCTGTGTGACCCAGGGCAAGTCACTTAATCCCGGTTACTTCAAAAATAAAAAATCTGGCCCCAGATACTTACTAGCTATGTGACCCTGAGCCAGTCATTTAAACTCTGTTTGCCTCAGTTTCATCAACTGGTAAGACGGGGATGATTAACAGAACCTACCACCCAGAGTTATTGTGAAGATCAAATGAGATAATGCTTATAGAGTGCTGAGCAGAGGGCCTAGCATGTCACTGGCACTTAATAAATGTTTGCTTCCTTCCTCCCAATACCAGTAAAATCACAGGTCCACTCTCTGTCCTGAAGTGTCTGGGACAGGGCTTTATTTCCACTTAATAAAACACTTGTTGATTTGAATTGATGGACTGGTCCTTCCAAAGCAGACATAGTTTGTACTCTGGACCATATGACAGATCAAGTCAAAGAAATTCAGAATATGCCATACTACTACTGGGCACTTTCTAGAGAGAGCAGGACATTTTGTTGTTTCCCTCTTTCTCTATTCCTCTTTCTTTTTCTAGTCTTTTCCTATGCCCCTTCCTCCACAAATAGAAACAAAAAAAGGTAGTTATGCAATTCACTTTAAGAGTCATTAAATACCTACCGTACAATAAAGCACTGTGCTGGGTCCTGGGAGCATAGATACACAGAGATGGTGAAGATTCCTAAGCCCAAGTGTATAAATAACTTCCAGCTCCTTCTATTCTATATGAATACAAGCATAACCAAATACACAGATCAAGGCCACCCTCCCTAGTGACCCAGATCAAACACAAAGAAACCAGCTGTAAAAATGCTCAGGTGTGGCCACTGGCTTTGGAAGGAGAGGATGGCCTCAGCTGGTTTCGTAAAGCTGGTGGTGGGAAGAGAAGTCATCTGGCTGTTGAATCATTTGGATGCTGTTAAGTGATTTACTGGTAGGGTTAGCAGGTCCCAGACCCATCTCTTTCACATTTCCCCTACACACATCCTAAAACTGTGGGTTTTTCCAGCACAGTCTAAAAATATATTCCCAGCTGGCTCTAATTGGACTCACTAGTCATAGCATAGAGCCTGAAGAAGTTGAATTATGTTTTCATCCTTGACTACATCCTTACGATTTACCATCAGCCTTGTCCCAGCCCTGAAATCCCTATCATAAAAATGGACAGGGTTCTTAGAGCAGGGCTTTCCATGACAACCATAGTGAAGGTCAAATTCCCATGGTTTAAAAGTCTAGGTCATAGAATCATAGATTTAGAACTGGAGGGACGATTAGAGGTCATCAAGTCCTACATTCTCATTTTACAAATGAGGAAACT